TGCCTATAGTTTAGAGCAGAAGCTGAGGTAGATTTTTATCCCTAAGAAAATTGTAATTATAATTGAATTTATTTAAAGAAAGAGACATTTAAATTTTGTTTTATTAAACCACTGTTTAATAAAAGTAAAGCAATTTTATGTTTAGTTTTTTCCCCCTGCTATACCGAAACCATACCAAACCGTGACGTCAAAACCGAGGTACGTACCGAACCATCATGTTTGTGTACCGTTACACCACTAATATATGCACATATACACTGAACAAAATTATAAACGCAACACTTTTGTTTTTGCCCCCATTTTTCATGAGCTGAACTCAAAGATCTAAGACTTTTTCTATGTACACAAAAGGCCTATTTAAGTGCCAGACGCCATCAAATGTGAGCATTTGCCCACTCAAGTCGGTTACGACGACGAACTGCAGTCAGGTCGAGACCCCGATGAGGACGTTGGAGGATGAAGAAATTCTTTGGTTATGCAAACCGATTGTTGCAGCAGCTGTCCGGGTGGCTGGTCTCAGACGATCTTGCAGGTGAAGATGCTGGATGTGGAGGTCCTGGGCTGGTGTGGTTACACGTGGTCTGCGGTTGTGAGGCTGGTTGGATGTACTGCCAAATTCTCTGAAACGCCTTTGGAGACGGCTTATGGTAGAGAAATTAACATTAAATTCACGGGCAGCCGCTCTGGTGGACATTCCTGCAGTCAGCATGCCAATTGCACGCTCCCTCAAAACTTGCGACATCTGTGGCATTGTGCTGTGTGATAAAACTGCACATTTTAGAGTGGCCTTTTATTGTGGCCAGCCTAAGGCACACCTGTGCAATAATCATGCTGTCTAATCAGCATCTTGATATGCCACACCTGTGAGGTGGATGGATTATCTCGGCAAAGGAGAAGTGCTCACTAACACAGATTTAGACAGATTTGTGAATAATATTTGAGAGAAATAGGCCTTTTGTGTACATAGAAAAAGTCTTAGATCTTTGAGTTCAGCTCATGAAAAATGGGGGCAAAAACAAAAGTGTTGCGTTTATAATTTTGTTCAGTGTAATTTCAGTTAAAGTTTAAGTCACAAAAGTTTATAATAGAACATATGATGCATATTTTTAAAAGACATCACAATAAAATAAATATTATATTATACCTTAGATATACAGTAAACCATATATATTATTTTTTCAAAATGTAATGTATATAAATAAATATAATTTCTTATAAATAAATAATATAAAGTTGGTCAGTTTTTTTCAATGTATTCCAATCAACTAATATTGATTTCTGTGTGGTGCAGGTATAACAATTCACTGAGATTTAGTTACTTTAGTGATTCAAATTAATAACTAATTAATACTGTCTTAACTCTTATAGCTGGCTTTGGCTAACTAACCCACTCATGACTAATCCTTCCCTCCAACTGTTTCTTCCTCTGTCTTTCTCCCTCTCTGTCTATTTTGTCTGTCTCCTCCCCTTCTCTACCGTCCACAGGTCCACTACCTGATGATCCTGGCAGCAAACTGGGCCTATCTCAAGGGACTGTGTCAGCAGACTCATGCCTACCAGGACATCAAAACCAGAGATGATCAAGAGCTGCAGGATGTGCAGTCACGCTCCAAGGAGGGTCTAAACTCCTCCTACTCATAAACAGTTCTCCCAATTCTGATCTACCCCACCTCTATCTAACCTACTCTAGACCACACCAAAACACACACACACACACCTGCCACCCTCAAATGAAACACTACGCAAACTAACACTGCTAAGCGCTGCGCTATCCTGACTATACATCATAATAGTGGTATAAGTTGGTTATAATCATGATGAAACATGTCAGACAAGTTATTGAACATCTGTAACAAATGATGAGTGGAATCATGCATTAATGGTGATATGATGTATTTTACTCGTATACTTCATGGTACAAATTACCACTGGTATAAAAGTGTATGTATTCTAGTATTGTACTGTCATTTTGCAAGTATTTTTGAATTGGTAGAAAGTGTATGTACAGTGTAGAGTCATGGTTATAACTAGGTTATGTTTGGTTTTTTGATGCATTGTCTTGGTAAAGCGCTGCTTACATAACAGACTGTCTGCACTAACTCCTCACAGACATTTTGCAGGAACTTCCTTTTTTTGGTGTTTTATACATACTGTATATAAATATATATAAATGTGTGAAAGTGAATGAATGTTGTTTTTTTGTTTTGGTTTGTTTTTCATTATGGGTGCCAGGTTGTGTATTGAAAATGTCTGTTTATCTAGAACCTTTCTCTGGTCTCTATGGCTATCTTAGATTTCTGAATTCACCACTTTTCCCAATTCTCTTTCTTAATTAATTTTTTTGGAGGGGGTGGGGGACAATACCGGTTATTGACAAATTGCACTACTCTTGTAATAGAAAGCAGGTATATTAACACACACACACACACACACATGAACATACAGTGGAGGGACGTTTAAAAAAATGTTTTCTCAAATCTGCCAAGTATCATTATCAAGTACTCAACCTTCAAAATGATATTCTGAAAACAGTATCTGACCAATATAATTCTGACTGGCAGAACAATTTAGATGTTTGTTTAATTAATGAAAAAAAATTAAAAAAAATAATACTAAATTATTTACTAATAATAATGTCTAACAGAAACTACCCTCACAGCTATACAGATTATATGCTTTCCTTCAGTTTTGTTGATTAATCTAGGTATTTTTCAGTCTTTTAGAATTTTCTCTTATGGCAAGATGTTTACCATGAGTTTAATGAGATGATTGTGACTTATTGCTATGTGGACGTGAAACTCTGAAAATGGTTTGAATTTACAGTCAAATAATGCAGCCTTGTTTTTGCAGTGTATCTTTTTCCTAACTGGTCTCTCTCTCTTTCTATTACTGCTTTTACAATATGACTTTGTAATAATCTCTTTTAACTAAAATTATTCTTTTCTGTAATGTCTATGTAAATATAAGCATGTTAGTATTGTCCACATATACAATTGTTTAATAGCTGTTATATGCCATTTCTTGCTGTATGTTCAATTCTGTTAAAGGGAGCTTACAGGGTTGTGTAAGATGTTGATCTATTACCCCGTTTTTGAAAAAGAAGATGTGTGCCTGGATGTTCTATTGTTCCCTGATTATTGCATGAAGGAGAGATATTTAATTTTGTTTTGAAGTACTGTAAGTGATGTGTAGTCCATTGTTCTAATGAACTACAATTGACAGTGTCCCACCTCTCCCCGAAAAAACAAACCACTGTATGTTAGAGGAAATTGTACTCTTAGATGTTTCATAGTCGATTTTAAGTCAGATGTTTTATGAATCCTGTATAGTGATTTTTGTAACCTTCTCTAGTAAAATATTTTCTATGATCTATATGATGAACTGTTTTGTATTATTATTATTTATTTTTTTTTTAAAAGCACCTGTGCAAGAGTTTCATTTTCATATCTTGGCAATGCGGACTTACAACTGCACTACATTGATTGCAAGGTGACCATCATCATTTCTAAGTCCTTCTCCAGTTTGTGCATTTGAATTTTTTTTTTCTACTTGCGCCATCTGGTGTAGGAATGAGAACATGGCGCCATTTATTTATTTATTTATGCTAAATTTCTCCAAATCTGTTCCCATGAACAAACAAACTCATCTACATCTTTTCAGCAAATTTATCTTTTCATTGCACCACAATAAAATTTTGGTTAGTTTAACTATAAATAAAAACATATTGAAGAGGAAAATCAATAATCAAATACTTTTAATTCAGCAATATTTCAATTGTTTAATACACACAAATGTAGCAAACTTGGATTAGCATGCAGGATTTTTATAAGAATCATTTTGTGACACTGAAATTATGTCCATGTAAAATAAAATTATCCCTCAAATGTCTTACTCAGGTTTTATATTCTAGCATATTTTAAAAAATGAATTGTTACCCCTGTTAAGGGACCCAAAGCCTGTTGAACTTAAAGTGGTAATTAATACAAAATATATTTACAAATATGCTACACAATCACACTTCATGACTCAAAGACATTCCAAAGAATATCTTATAACGCAAGACTGTTAAATAAGACAAACAAGAAACCAGTGCTAAAGGCACTTAAAGTAGCACAACATCAGGAAATGAGACAAAACACATTTGAATTTGTTCTAGTGTTTATGAGTGTAACAGCTGATTTTTATTTCTCAACTGTAAACAGCATTAGAACTAGTGTGAGTGCTAAAGGGTCTCAGTGATCCCTGTTTGGGCAACCTAAAGCACACAAGAATGTGATCCAGTGCTTTGAAACAAAGGCATAGGAATGTGACCCAAAGAGATTATTTTAAAGTTTAAACAAGGCATATAATTCTATAAGACTCTTCATTTATAATTATTGTTCAGAGCAAGTGTTTGAGATGTTGTAACTCATTATGTACTAAAGTATGCATACTGCACACAAGATGTTTTTCTGGCATCTGCTGTGGAGAACTGATGAGTATGCATTTTTTTTCACTAAAACATACAGTAAAGTAGAGTGTTTCAGTTGTGTTCATATCATTCCACCACAGCATCAACAGCATGAGCCGCTCGCCCGTGGCTTCCTGCGCAAGTCAACAGTGTCTGTGGGCAGCAGGTGTTCTGCGCGATCTTCAGATGAAAGCACACGTCTAACTGCTTCCTCAAATGCAGCTGAGACATTAGTGGCATCCTTTGCGCTTGTTTCAAAGTATGGATATCCACCATTCTCTTGACACCACCTTTGAGCTTCTTCCATTGGCACCTGATGCTCCGTCACATCTACTTTGTTTCCTAGAACAACAAACGGAAATTTCTCTGGGTCCCTGACATCTGCGTAGTATGCAAACTCTTTCTTCCAGTTGTTGAGGTTCAAGAAACTTTGATTATCATCCACACTAAACGTAAGCAGACAGCAGTCAGAGCCACGGTAAAAGGGCGTTCGGAGACTTCTGAACCTCTCCTGGCCTGCTGTGTCCCAGATCTGTAGAGTGACCGTGTGACCATCCACCTCCAGCTCTCTGTTTAAGAACTCTACACCGATCGTGTGGAATAGATGTGAATCAAACTTGTTGGAGACATACCGGTTCATGAGGGAGGACTTTCCCACACCACCATCCCCCAGTAGAATCACCTTTAACAAAGATGACTTGGTGGTCATGATCAAGAACTTTCATAAGTTACAGACCTGAAATGAAAATCAGAATTAGCAAGCTTTGAAAGGCACGACTATTCACTTTGAAGTGAACTAAATGTAGGCCACTGAAAAGTGTTAAAGTAGGATTTTTGTGAGAGGTGAGGTAAGAGAGGCTGGTTCTAGAAAATATGCCTCGTGGTGATTTTCAGAGTAACCTATACTAGCCTAAAATATATTTTAATGCCAGTGTGACTTAAAATCAGCATGGCTCAGGTCAAAGTTACTGGTATCTTTACAATGGAGTTCTGATACACCCTTTGGCCCCAAACATTGTTCGTCACAGAGTAATATTTCTGTTTAGTAATGTCCTGTGACAGGAGTCCATTCAAGCGCTGATCATGTGAGACACATCTTGACAGATTGTCCTGTCCTCATAACTTAACATATGAAAATAAATAATAAAACTCACAATGTAAGCAATCGCTGTGTAATCAAAGTCGGACTTATTACATCCCCTATAACATTTTCATTACAGAATCACATGAGACTGACAACGAACCAGTCTGAACATGTTTAAGAACTGTAGGAAATAATAGATTTACGATGTAAAGCTAGATGAAATGTAAGCCTGGGCTGCTATTTTATAGCAAACATTTAACCACAGCGCTGTTCATGCCTTAAATTTTCAGCAGAAAACATCTTGGAGTACGACGTAGGCTGAAGTCGAGCCCATTTTTACTCGATGGCGAAGTAAATCAATGACATGTAATGTTGTGGCAAGACATGGCTTCAGTGGCGGCATTCCATTCAATCGCATGATCAAACCGGCAGATCTTTAGAGGCAATTTCTACACATTGAATAATGTACATTTAAAACATTTGTTGCGCGAGAAACAGACCGCTAGTTTAAGAATAATACATTACCGTTGAGATTTCCGCAATGAGTATCGAAGTGCTGTGCTAGCAGCGCCATTCCGTAAAGTATAAGCATCTCCACCGTATGTAGCGCGTCCAAGACATGGCGCCCTGGGCTGGCCACACAGCTACTGAAGCTCATATGACCCAGTACTCATATATGAGACATGTAACGTGAAATCAGGTTAATAAAACAACACTGAAATGAATGAAGTTTCATAACTGAGGTCAGCCTGATACAGAAAACAATGGCTGAAAGGTTCATTGTAAATTACATATGTTCTCTTTTAAGTGCCTTTCCCCTTAATATTTGGTTGGCATTTGATATTAATTATTAACCGTCTCTGACTGACGACAGCATTATTCAGCGAGCCACTAATCAAATGTTTTCCCTCCTAGTTGCACAAATTCTCTTGTGTACACATTATATCAGCATGTCATTACATCATAAAGCTTAGAGCTTGTTAAAACTTGTGCAAAAGGACATAATGTAATCTTAAAGATTACAATAATGTTTGCCTCATCATGGAATATCTAAAACATGGAATGTTGCAATGAACAGCTATACACATACCATAGTAATAAAACAGTTTAAGTGATTTTTTGTAGGCTCTAACTTGACTGAAAGCACTAGGCTAAATCAAACATAAGGTTCAAGATGAGGTTAAACCTGTAATTATTCTAAACATACCAAGAGTTCATTCTGGCTAACAACAACCTGACCTATATAAAATATATTTTCCCATGTGGACCTTTCCACATTGAAGACTTGTCTTTTTCATTACAAACATGTTCATGCTCAACATTGTTGAGTGAGATATCTGAGTGCATAAAATACATTCTTTGGACCCTGTCTTGGGCAGACTATCAGGTCACATGCTCTCTGCATGTGGCACACTTTCTGTCACATGTTTGCTGAGTTTAGACACAAGATCACATTTGACTCACGCTGCATGAGTTGTGCTTCCCCATTTTTGGGTGATCTGAAAGTAACATTACTGGTTCTCATGCATTCGTTTAGTTTAAACTTTGGTCATAGTCATAAATAGAGTAGCAAAAACCAAACTCATGATCTCTGAAAGCAATGTCAGAGGAAGTGAATTTAGAAATTACCATACAGTAGTTATTATCATATACGAGTCACAGATTAAGTAAACTTTAGTAAGAGATGGAGTAGTTGAGAAATTCTTTAACAAATTATGATGCATGTGTCATGGAAGTGACGATTATTTAGTAAATATATTATTGCACCATATATTCATAAGAACTTTTTTCAACATTTTAATATATTATTTTATGAAATTTGTAAGGACATATAATCTGAATTACCAGTATCAACACCATCAAAACCAATGGATTTAATTCAATTGCTTTAAACTTGACGTAATTCACAACTACTCAAAAACAAAATGTATACATTTATGAAGTCTACATAATATTTTTCTAACAAGACAACATCATAAATATTACTCTAGATTTATTCTAGAACAAGATACATTTAATTGCATAAATGTTCACTTTCAGATGAAAAAGATGATACATCTTTTATGCAATGGTTCATTAATAGGCGTGCATATTCATGTTTAATCAACAATATTCAGTCCCAAAAGTGTGCTTGTAAGATATGGAAAAGAGGCTAAAATATATATATATCTCATAGATCAAAAAGAAATCTGCATAAAATCATGTGTAAAGCCTCAGTTGATGCCCGGGTCAAAATAAACCTGAATGGTCTAACATTTTTAATAGTTATATCTTTTTTTGATAGTCCTGGTGCATTTGCAAATTGTGGTTCCTGCACTTAAAACTATGCATTTAAGTATGTATCTCTTCTGGGTCAAAATGGACCTGAATGCATTGTGAGGGTATACTGCACCAAACCGAAGGCCACAAGAAAGTTAATCTGAGTGAAAAATCTTAACTTGGTTTAACTGTGCACAAAAAGGTCAAATTGTACTGAACAATATTGCTATTCATCTTTATTAAAGTTATAAAAAAATACACACTCAAAGGCAAACCCAGCTGCTGTGGTACCACTGCTCTCCACAATTAGCACACGTCATAAAAGTCATTGAATCATCATCTGCACTGCCACTCCTACCCAGGATGGCAAGAAGAGTGTCCCTCGTGAGAACTGTGTCACCCTGCAGTCCAAACCTTCACAGCACCTGCAGCGAACTTGATTGGCGGGTGTCCCTTCCATCACATCTGGTAACTGATGCTCACTGATGCCCATAGTGGTGTAACCTTCCCTGAGCTGTCGAAGTTCCTCCCCTGCCATTTCCTCCATAGACATCTGGGCGAATGCATCTGGAGTGAGGTGTCCTGATATAAGGCCCTGGAGCAGGTGAGGGTTCTTTGGGTTCTTTAGGTTGGCCACATTGCTCCTGATGCAGGACTTGTACTTAAGCTGTTTTTTTCCGTGAAGAGTGTGAACATATCTTTCAATGTCCTCAGCAAGGGCTTTGTGTTTGTCCATATAATCTGAGTCTATTTGCCGATTTAAAGTAAGAGCCTGGAGAATCAGATGGACACATTTGGATCTCAAAGCCATGGTGTCAAAGGAAGTGCTGGGCTGCTTGGTGTTTTGAAGAATTGGGGTTTGAGAATTTTTCTCTGTATCAGAGCTATGTGATGCTGAGGCTAGAGTGAAGCTCTTTTTCTTACATTGAACAGATTCTGCAGCTTCTTTTGCTGGATAAGGCTTTTCAGAAGACAGCTTATTTGTGACCCTGGACCACAAAACCAGTCTGAAGTCGCTGGGGTATATTTGTAGCAATGACCAAAAATACATTTCATGGGTCAAAATTATTGATTTTTCTTTTATGCCAAAAATCATTAAGGTTATTAAGTAAAGATCATGTTCCATGAAGATATTTTGTAAATTTCCTACTTTAAATATATTAAAACTTCATTTTTTATTAGTAATATGCATTGCTAAGAACTTAATTTAGACCATTTTAAAGGCGATTTTATCAATATTTAGATTTTTTTTGCACCCTCAGATTCCAGATTTCCAAATAGTTGTATCTCGGCCAAATATTGTCCTATCCTAACAAACCATACATCAATGGAAAGCTTATTTATTAAGCTTTCAGGTGATGTATAAATCTCAATTTCGTAAAATTGACCCTTATGACTGGTTTTGTGGTCCAGGGTCACATTTGCGCATACATCACATTTGTCCTGGTTTACATCCTTTGTTATATCTTGTTGCTCTGTGATGCATATAAATGCTTGATTCTCATCCCCCTTTTCATTTAATTGCTGTGATCCATTGGTTACAGATGGAATTTTCCAGGACACCTCAACATCAGGCAGGTCATGTGTGACTAGTTCCTTGTCCTCCCACATATTTTTGTTATTATTTTTAAGCACAGATGACAACTTGTACAAATTCTTCCATTTTTACAGCAAGTCCTGCTATTGTTCTAGCACTCACAACTGGACAGAACTTACGTAGCTTATAAAGCAGCTTAACAATGCCTGTAGTCTGCATCTGCTCTAACGTGACACATGTGTTGTTCAGGTCTGTCAACAATGATATAATATCTCCATAGCTGCCATCATGGTGCAGCTTCTCTATTTGTGAAGCATAATGAATTATCTCTTTAGTATTCATGACGTCTTCAACATTAAACCAACATTTCCAAGAAAAATATGTTGTCGTTGGCTGTTTACAGCACATGGGTGATTCTATCATTGGTGATACATTTGGCATTGCAGAAAGTTAAGAAAAAAAACTTTTCACTAACAGATTTTTTTTTCAGTATCTTATTGAAAACATATTTAATTTTAATAATTCAGTGCTTGCCAAACACAAGTTACTTCCTTTTTTTACTTTTAATGAAAAAAACAGATGTCTTTATGGTATTGTTTGTCAACTCTGTTACGGACAAATTAGCCAATGTGTAGAAATAACAATAAATCATAACAGGAAAAATCCTTCTTGTTTCATTAGACAAACAGTCCTTACATTCCATCACTTGAAACTGAGATAATATTTCACCTATGCATACCTTAAAAATAAAAAAAATACCTATGTCTTCACAGAACCGTCCACTTGGAGCAAATATTTTTCATCTGAAAATGTATTATATACAATATCCAGTTAAAAAAAGAAACGTTGTTGAAATATTATGAGGGTGCAAAAATAAATTAATAATGTTTATTAGATTTTAAACAACAATTTTAACAAATCTAGGGGAAGTACCATTAAATAGCTTTATAGAACAGTTGACATTTTTGTAAAGAGTTTCGATTGCTGTAGAAAAAAAATTACCAAAATCAAATTTCTTTAGAGTATCAAGGATAAACTGATGTTCTATAGAATCAAATGCTTTACAAAAGTCTAAAAATAATATAAAGCCATTATCATTAATCTGATCTGAATAATCCAAAATGTCCAAAACTAATCGTATATTATTTGTTATGTGCCGATTTTTCATGAATCCCGATTGTGATTCATCAATTACTGAATCCAAAATTGTTTTCAATCTTCTAGCTAAAATTTGGGCCAACAGTTTATAATCATTATTTAATAAACAAATAGGGCGCCAATTATCAATATACTGTCTGTCTTTATTTGGTTTGCACATAGACTTTTCAGTGCTTCAGATCTTAACAGTGAGGGAAAGTGACATCATTTCCTGTATCTTACATAGTTGTGGGAGATAATTCCACCAATTTAAAGGCAAAGTATGGTACGGTAACAGAATTGACGCAAGATTTACGGACACACATTTTTATAAGAAATTTTTTAAAATAATGTTGTAGAATTAGGTAAATGACTCTTCAGGGCTTTTATAAATAAAATGAATGAAATATTACAAAAAGAAAAGTACAATAAAATATTTTGATTACACAATGATACATGATGGAAAAAATGCACTGACTAATTCGGACAACAAGAAATCATGATTTTCAGCTATTTAAGACACCTTTTGCAGAAAAAAATATTATATTGTTATGGACTGTAACATCTTGTAATTCATAACAATGAGTAACACAGTATTAAAATAATTAAAAATATAACCATTTGAAAAAAGCAGAAAAAAAAACTATAAAACTAAAAACTATCGGACACCAAATGTACCTGCAATTATAGAATCACTCACATGCAGACATGCGTTTATAAGAAAAAAAAACTGCTGCAAAATAGGAATAAAATAAATCATTTATAAATGACAGACTAACGCAACGTCTTTACTTTCAAATAAAGACGGTTCTTCTACCGGTATAAAGTTGGTTCGACGTTTGACATTTGTCAGAGATTCAGCCTCGGAAATATTCAATAGTTCTTTAACGATTTAGCACAATGGCAAGAAACATACTGTGTTCTAATTGTTTTCAAATGTAGA